TCAAGGATCTATTCAAAGATGTAAGAAATGAGGAAGAAGGGAGAAAGAAACACAAATGGTAGATTAACACTCACCAGAAAAAAATGTTGCCACCTTTAAAGAGAAAGAAATCAATGGAATACAGAATGCAGCTCTCAAAATCCTCAAGAAAATCCAAGTATGATCCAGGAACGTTATACTCAACCAAATTGTCATTCAGATAAAAGACAACATGAGCATTGAATCTATTTAAGGCAGGACTAAATCTTATACAAATGTGGGCATCATGGTTACAAAATAGAAAGTGAACATTTTAAATACAACAATGCACAAATGATATAGAAGATGTAAACAAGATAAAAGTGTATATATACACCAGGTGCAGTGGCTCGCACCTGTAATCCCAGTGACTTGGGAGGACAAAGCAAGAGAATCGCTTGAGGCCAGGAATTTGAGACCAGCCTGCGCATAGCGAGACCCCATCTCTACAAAAAATTTTAAAACTTAGGCTGGTATGGTTGGGCACACCTCCAGTCCCAGCTACTCTGGAGGCTAATGTGGGAGAATCACTTGAACCCAGGAGTTGGAGGCTGCAATGAGTGTGGTGAGCTATGATCATGCCACTGCACTTCAGCCTGAGCAACACAGCAAGACCTTATCTTGAAAGAAAATGAAAAAACAAAACACTAAAGTAAATAAGATATTTTCTGAAATCAGATGGTAGGTGAGTGGGAGAGAAAAGGAACTAGAAATATAATAATTACTTTACAAAGAAGTAACTATGTTATTTAACACTATAGTTATTAAGGTAAGCAATACAGCTAGGCATGGTAGCTCATGCCTGTAATCAGTAGCTTGAGGCCAGGAATTGGAGGCTGCAATAAGCTATGATCATGCCACTGCATTCCAGCCTGGGTGACAGAGTGAGACTCTGTCTCTTAAAAAATTAAAAAATAAAAAAAGGTTACCAAGGAAACATATCCAATATAAATATAAACATAATATAAGGAATTCAAGGGGCCAGGCACAGTGGCTCATGGCTGTAATCTCAGCATTTTGGGAGGCTGAGGCAGGTGGATCACCTGAGGTCAGGAGTTCAAGACCAGCCTGGCCAACATGGCAAAACCCCATCTCTACCAAAAATACAAAAAAATTAGGCGTGGTGGCATGCCTGGCTACCACCATGAAGTAATGAAGTGATATCAATGAAGTAATCACAGCTTCTAAGGAGTTT